GAGGACTCCAAGATCTTTTTCACATGTCCTGCTCTCGAGCCAGGCATCGTCCCCCATTCTGTCTCTTTGCAATTCATTTTTTCTGCCTAAGTGGAGTATCTTGCATTTGTCCGTGTTGAGTTTCTTGGGGAACAGAGGATGAACTGGGGAGGCAGGAGACACACACATACATACACACATTTTCCTGGGCTAGTGACTTGTGGTCTTCTTTTCCCAGCTGACCTCTCCCCTGTAGCTATGGGGCTTCTTGCAGAGTCAGGATTTGGATGGCTACAGCTAAGTGCCTGTATGTTGGACCGAAGAAAGAGACATGCAAGCAAACGTCATGACTATCTCAGGAGTCCTGGTTGAAGAGCCTCTTTGGTGATGTGTCATTGGAAAACAGTTTGGTCACAAGTGCTCTCCTTTCTGTCTTTGCATGCCATGAGCAGAAATGCAGATACTTTTTTAAATGGACCAAGGATTCCAGTTCCCAACTGACTGAAAGATCTTGTTGCTCTTATGATAGTTTGAGAACAAGCTGGTTTGGATTTGAATTAATTTTGAATGGTGAAATACGTCCCAGATACAGTAATCCCACAATCACTTCCATCCCTGCCCTTAGGGCTGGAGTGTTTAAGTTTCCAGCCAATGTTTTTCTTTGTTACCGGTTATTAGAAAGTTCTAACCAGCAGATCGGTGAGGTGCTGGCCTTTTGACTGTCTGTAGCCAAGGGCCAAGGTTCAGCAAGAAGAGCCATGGACTTGTGAGGGAGACCATATCAAGAGGAAGCATGTTTCTGCAAGAGAAGTACTATGGCAGTGCTTCTCAACCTTCCTAATGCCATGACCCCTCATGTTGCGGTGATGCCCAACCATAACATTATTTTCGTTGTGACTTCATAACTGTAATTTTGCTATTGTTATGATCATGCAAATATCTGAGAGTTGTAGTTGCTGGGATTTATAGTTCACCTACAATCAAAGAGCATTCTGAACACCATCAATGATGGAATTGAACCAAACTTGGCACACAGAGCTCCCATGACCAAAAGAAAATACTGGAAGGGCTTGATGGGCATTGACCTTGAGTTCGGAGTTGTAGTTCACCTATATCCAGAGAGCACAGTGGACTCAGACAATGATGAATCTGGACCAAACTTGGCATGAATATTCAATATGTCCAAATGTGAACACTGGTGGAGTTTGGGGGAAATAGACCTTGACATTTGAGCATTGTAGTTGCTGGGATTTATAGTTCACCTACAATCAAAGAGCATTCTGAAACCCACCAATGATAGAATTGGGCCAAACTTCCCACACAGAATCCCCATGACCAACAGCAAATACTGTGCTTTCTGATGGTCTTTGGTGACCCCTTTGACCCCCCCCCCCCCCCCCCCCCGAGGTCCTGATCCCCAGGTTGAGAAACGCTGTGCCATGGGATCCAGCACAGTCCTGGGATTTGTGTTTTGGAACTCTCCACTTGAGAATTCCTAAACTGCAAATCCCAGGATTGCCTAGGAGGGATCCATGACAACTATTGCAGAATCACAGCGCTGTTGTTGTCTGGCATGAAAGGATCCCCAGCCCCAGAGTTCTTCTGGGTTGACGGGAGCAGTCCAGTGCTTGCCCCGGACCCAGCTGTGAGGCATGGCACCTTGGCACAGGCTGCGCAGGCCTGGCATCATCAACATGGCAGCCATCCGTGGGCTCCGGACGGCAGCTCTGGCATTTGGGTGCACAATGGGTCCTTGTCTTGGCCACGAGGGAATCAGCCTGGGGGCGAACCATGTGCTGACTCCTTCTTCTTTCATGTGACTCTTGGGGTGGAAGCAGGAGAAAAGGGTTGCCTTCCCCAGCCCAGGGCTTCACTCTCCGCTGGATCGCAGACCTTCTGAACAGACAAAGTGGGGACTCAGTGCTGCCTGTTTGGCCTTTTATGGGAGGAAGAGGGGCTAATCTACATCTTGCACCTCTAAGGAGAACGTGGCACCCTTCTCTTAGGCCAAGCCAAAGAGACACAGGAGGCACTTTGGCCTAGAGAAGCAGTGGAAAGGAGGGGAATGGGTTGCATCTCCTTTGCGAGGTAGGCTGGTTGGTGGGTCTGTCTGGGTGTGTTGTTGTTATCCTACTTTCCTCTTGTAGTTATCCTACTTTCTTCTCTCAAAGGAGACTGAAAACAGCTATTCCAGGGGAGGGAAGGTGATTTGTGTGTGCAGAGAAGCAACTCAGGAGGAACCAGGCCGCAATATTGTGTCCAATTCTGAGCACCACAATTGAAGAGAGATATTGACAAGCTGGAGTGTGTCCAGAGGAGGGTGACTAAAATGATCAAGGCTCCGGAGAACAAGCCCTATGAGGAGCAGCTTAAAGAGCTGGGCATGTTTAGCCTGAAGAAGAGAAGGCTGAGAGGAGACATGATACCCATGTAGAAATACATGAGAGGAAGTCATAGGGAGGGGGGAGCAAGCTTGTTTTCTTCTGCCCTGGAGACTAGGATGCGGAACAATGGCTTCAAACTACAAGAAAGGAGATTCCATCTGAACATTAGGAAGAACTTCCTGACTGTGAGAGCCGTTCAGCAGTGGAACTCTCTGCCCCAGAGTGTGGTGCAGGCTCCGTCTTTGGAAACTTTTAAACAGATGCTGGATGGCCATCTGTCAGGGGTGCGTTGAATGCAATTTTCCTGCTTCTTGGCAGAATGGGGTTGGACCGGATGGCCCATGAGGTCCCTTCCAACTCTTTGATTCTATGATTCTATGATTCTATGAATGCAATTTTCCTGCTTCTTGGCAGAATGGGGTTGGACTGGATGACCCATGAGGTCTCTTCCAACTCTATGATTCTATCATTCTAATTTGGAGTGCTTCTGCTGCATAGCTTTTAATGAAAAGGAAGGATTAAACCTATGTTCTGCAAGTCCCTCTGCCAAACAGGCTTTAGTTCCCAGTTGCAAACTTGGAGCAGTGAGGAAGGGGCCCAGGATTTAACAGCAGGATGAAAGAAAGTGGGTGGGAGAGATGTGATGTTTGTGCTATTGTTGCCTTGTGTTCCACATCTGTTTTCCCAGCCGGTCCTTGAACTTTTGAAGACGGAGCGGAAGGAAGGGGCTTTTGAGGGAAGGCCGAGTTTATCCGTTTCTTTCCAAACATTTCTGGCCCCAGATGGAGCAAAATACCCAGCTGAAACTGTGGGCACTGCATTTGGGGTAAAGGTTGATGTCTTGTCAAAGGCTTTCACGACCAGAACACTGGGTTGCTGTGAGTTTTCCAGACTGTCTGGCCATGTTCCAGAAGCATTCTCTCCTGACGTTTCGCCTGCATCTATGGCAGGCATCCTCAGAGGTTGTGAGGTCTGTCGGAAACTAGGAAAATGGGGTTTATATATCTGTGGAATGATGTCCAGGGTGGGAGAAAGAACTCTTGTCTGGTTGAGGCCAGTGTGACTGTTTCAATTGGCCACCTAACACTAATCCTAACCCTTGATTAGCATTTATTGGCCTTACTTACTTAGGTGATCCCTCATAGCCCAAGGGTGATGGTCTTCCATGTTTGGTGTAGTGGTGGTGGGTACGTAGGTGACTATGGAGTCCTATTCTTGACTTGCATGTTCTCCAGCAGTTGGAAGGCGATCCCAGTCGGGATTGGTTTGACATGTCTTCCTCTTAGCACATTTGTCTCTTTCGCCCTCCATTCGGGCTCTTCAAATTCTACAGCACTGCTGGTCACAGCTGACCTCCAACTGGAGCGCTCAAGGGCCAGGGCTTCCCAGTTCTCTGTGTCTATGCCACAGTTTTTAAGGCTGGCTTTTTGCTCATCTTTAAATCTCTTTTCCTGTCCTCCAACATCCCATTTTCCATTCTTGAGTTCTGAGTAAAGCAACTGCTTTGAGAGACGGTGGTAAGGCATCCGGACAACGTGGCTGGTCCAGTGGAGTTGATGGCTGGATGGCCATCTGTCAGGGGTGCTTTGAATGCAATATTCCTGCTTCTTGGCAGGGGGTTGGACTGGATGGCCCATGAGGTCTCTTCCAACTCTATGATTCTATGATGGTGGAGGACCATCGCTTCAATGCTGGTGGTCTTTGCAGTCATTCTGACCACTTGACCTTGGAGGTGTCTGTGGACAACGCTAGGTCTTCAGCTTCGAAATGGAAATGAGCACCAACCCCCAGAGTCAGACTGGACTTAATGTCAGGGAAAAACCTTTACCTTTACTTTACTTGCCGAGAGGGATGCTGTTGCTGGGGGAATGTTAAGAGGAGAGGTCATTCTCATGAAGCTTTTCCTTGATTTGAGTCTACTGAGAGGAGACCGATAGCCATGCAGTGAATGGCTTTCACAGTGTTCAGCCTTCTTTCTCTCACAGCAGCAACTTCCCATCGCAAATTGGGGGGGGGGGGGCAATGCTAGCCAGCTTGTAGAGTCTATCAAAAGGTGTAGGTTTCAGACATCCTGTGATTATTCTGCATGTTTCATTCAGTGCTATGTTCACCTGCTTTGTTTATGCCACACAAGGCAGTCATACTCTGCAGTTGAGCTAGGGATGATGTTCGTATTTTGGGTCTGCTTCCCATGTGCTATTAGTAAGTTTCAGCAGGATGTTATTGCATGCAGCTACTTTGTGCTTAATGTTCATGCAGTGTTTCCTGAATGTTAGTGTCCGATCTAAGGTGACACTAAGATATTTAGGATGAAACAGTGTTTGAGCTTTTGACATTCCCAGGTAACTTTCAATTTCCTGTTGGCTTCATGGTTACGTAGGTGGAAAGCACATACTTGTGTCTTGTGTCAGTTTAAGAAACTTTCCTCATTGTATTGTCGAAGGCTTTCATGGCTGGAATCACTGGGTTGTTGTAGGTTTTTTCAGGCTATATGGCCATATTCTAGAGGCATTTTCTCCTAAATGCCTCTAGAACATGGCCATATAGCCCGAAAAAACCTACAACAACCCAAACTTTCCTCATGTTTTGATGATAGAATCACTTTTTTCTGACGTTTTGCGGTTCCTTTCTCTCCAGGTGGAAGATGGAGGGAAGGCGGCCCTGTCTCAGAAGATGCGCTCCGGGGATGAGCTGGTGAACATCAACGGGACGCCACTCTACGGCTCCCGGCAAGAGGCCCTGATCCTCATCAAGGGCTCCTACCGTACCCTCAAGATGATCCTCCGCAGGTGAGGCGCAGGAGCAGGACCCCGGGGCAGAGCATAGAGTGGTGTGTGGATTGTACATCTGAAAGGACTCTTCTCCAGATTCAGGAGGGAAAATGTGAAATGCAACAGAAGTCATAGAGCGGCCAATGGGGATGAGCAAGCTATACATGCTAACTATTGTTGGAAACAGAAACCAAGAGTTGGAGGTTGGGCCAAGGATCATCCACTCCAGTTGCCTTCTGCTGGGCAGGAAGACACCACCCATGTCCTCCCAACAGATGGCCATCACGAAGGGGCTTCAGAGGGGTCACCAAAGATAATCAGAAAATATATATTTCTGATGGTCTTAGGAACCCCTTAGGCAGAGAAGGATGAAGACCTCTCCGCCTGTCCTTCTCTTCCTTTGGTGAATCCTCCCACCAATAGCCCTCCTCTACAGTGACCTCAGCCGCCCTCTCAGCCAAAGGGAGGACTGTTTTTGAGACTCCAAGCAGGGAGGGGAGAGGATAGCAGGCGTGCTTGGTGCATGGCAGTGTGCGGGCAAGGGAGCGCATGAAAAATGCAGGGAGTTGCAGTTCAATGGCTTTGGGGGGTTAAGACCTTTCCTTTGTCACCTTGAGTCATCTATGTGCTGGGCTTTGTTGTTGGTGATGTTGTTGTTATGAGTTTGTTCTGGATGCTGTTTTTATTGTGAGATTGTTTGGATAACAATGTCCTCCTGCATTTATATTTTTCTGGCAATTTTGGTTATACTGTAGTATATCTCTCTAAGAGCAGCATTTCTCAACTTGGGGGTTAGGATCCCTTGGGGGATTGTGAGGGAGTGTCAGAGGGGTCACCAAAGACTGTCAGAAAACACAGTATTTTCTGTTGGTCATGGAGGTTCTGTGTGGGAAGTTTGGCCCAATTCTATTGTTGGTGGGGTTCAGAATGGTCTTTGATTGTAGGTGAACTATAAATCCCAGCAACTACAACTCCCAAATGTCAAGGTCTATTTTCCCCAAACTCCACCAACATTTACATTTTGGCATATTGAGTATTTGTGCCAGGTATGGTCCAGATATATCGTTTTTTGAGTTCATAGTGCTCTCTGGGTATAGGTTTTTTTTTTGTCATGTCAGGAGCGACTTGAGAATCTGCAAGTCGCTTCTGGTGTGAGAGAATTGGCTGTCTGCAAGGACATTGCCCAGGGGACACCCGGATGATTTGATGTTTTATCATCCTTGTGGGATGCTTCTCTCATGTCCCCGCATGAGGAGCTGGAGCTCATAGAGGGAGCTCATCCACCTCTCCCTGGATCTGAACCTGCGACCTGTCGGTCTTCAGTCCTGCCAGCACAGGGGTTTAACCCACTGCGCCACCAGGGGCTCCCGGGGTGTCAGGTGGTCGCCAAAGACCATCAGAAAACACAATATTTTCTGTTGGTAATGGAGGTTCTGTGTGGGAAGTTTAGCCCAATTCTATCGTTGGTGGGGTTCAGAATGCTCATTGATTATCGGTGAACTATAAATCCCAGCAACTACAACCCCCAAATGTCAAGGTCTATTTTCCCCAAACTCCACCAGCATTTATATTTTGACATATTGAGTCTTTGTGCCAAGTCTGGTCCAGATCCATCATTGTTTGAGTCCACAGTGCTCTCTGAATGTAGGTGAACAACAACTTCAAAACTCAAGGCCAATGTTCACCAAACCCTTCCAGTATTTTCTGTTGGTCATGAGAGTTCTGTGTGCCAAGTTTGATTCAATTCCATCATTGATGCCATTCAGAATGCTCTTTGATTGTAGTTGAACTATTAATCCCATCAACTACAAGTGGACAAGCATACAGATGTGTAGTTGTCTGTTCTGCTCCACAGTCGCATAAGGTTTGGGATTCTTTTAGGTAGTGCCATTTTTCCAGGTTATCTTTTGTTCTGCCCACTCCACTTCTGAGTCTGTTCAGGGACTTCCAAGTTGCCCTCCAGAAAACCCAGTATTTTCTGTATTGTCGAAGGCTTTCATGGCCGGAATCACTGGGTTGTTGTAGGTTTTTCCAGGTTATATGGCCATGTTCTAGAGGCATTTTCTCCTGACATTTCGCCTTCATCTATGACAAGCATCCTCAGAGGTAGTGAGGTCTGTTGGAAGTAGGAAAATGGGTTTATATATCTGTGGAATGACCAGGGTGAGACAAAGGACTCTTGTCTCCTGGAGCTAGGTGTGAATGTTTCAACTGACCACCTTGATTAGCATTTGATGTCTTGGCAGTGCCTGGGGGAATCTTTTGTTGAGAGGTGATTAGATATGCCTGATTGTTTACTCTCTGTTGTTTTGTTGTTGTAATTTTAGAGTTTTTTTTAATACTGGTAGCCAGATTTTTTCATTTTCATGGTTTCCTCCTTTCTGTTGAAATTGTCCACATGCTTGTGGATTTCAATGGCTTCTCTGTGTCATCTGACATGGTGGTTGTGAGAGTGGTCCAGCATTTCTGTATTGACAGATAATATGCTGTGTCCAGGTTGATTCATCAGGTGCTCTGCTATGGCTGACTTCTCTGGCTGAAGTAGTCTGCAGTGCCTTTCATGTTCCTTGATTCGTGTCTGGGCAATGCTGCTGCGTTTGGTGGTCCCTCTGTAGACTTGTCCACAGCTGCATGGTATATGGTAGACTCCTGCAGAAGTGAGATTATCTCTCTTGACCTTTGCTGAACGTAGCATTTGTTGAATTTTCTTGGTGGGTATGTAGATAGTTTGTATGTTGTGTTTCCTCATCAGCTTTCTCATCCAGCGGACAAGAGTCCTTTGTCTCACCCTGGTCATTCCACAGATATATAAACCCTTTTTCCTACTTCCAACAGACCTCACTACCTCTGAGGATGCTTGCCATAGATGCAGGCGAAACGTCAGGAGAGAATGCCTCTAGACCATGGCCATACAGCCCGAAAAAACCTACAACAACACAGTATTTTCTGTTGGTCATGGGGGTTCTGTATGGGAAGTTTGGCCCAATTCTATGGTTGGTGGGGTTCAGAATGCTCTTTGGTTGTAGGTTAACTATAAATCCAGGCAACTACAACTTCCAAATGACAAAATCAACCCCAATCCCCAACCCCACCAGTACTCAATTTTGGGCATATGGGTATTTGTGCCAAATTTGGTTCAGTGAATGAAAATACATCCTGTATATCAGATATTTTCATTACGATTCATAACTGTAGCAAAATTGCAGTTATGAAGAAGCAATGAAAATAATGTTATGGTTGGGGCGTCACCACAATATGTGGAACTGTATTAAGGGGTCACGGCATTAGGAAGGTTGAGAAACACTACACTAGAAAGTCAAAAGTAAACATGGAGAGGAATTCCTCCTTCCCTTCTATTCCTCCCTCTCTCATTTTGCATGAGAAGTGAAGCATCTCTGAAGATGCAACTGTAGCTTTTCAACCCTGGCTTCCAGGCTCACTGCAGAGGGTCTTGGGGTTCCTCTGGCCTCCCCTTCCTCTAGATCCTTTCCCAGGGCTCCGTCATTCAAGGGCCTGCTGCCCCCTTGTGTCAGGAATCAAGGCCAACCTCTCTTCTTGCAAGAAGCCAAAACAAACAGTCAGAGGGGAAATGGGGTGGGGGAGGCCCCTTTCCAAAGGAAGCCCCCGCCCCAATCTCCACTTTGGCCGCCAACCAACCAACACTGGTTTTGCTCAGGACCGGCTTGTATTTCACTCCGTTACACCCTTCCTTTTCTCACTGCTCTCTGGTGCCTCCCACCTTCCACAAATCACACATTTGACAAAATGTTTGAAAAGAACATTTGATCCTGCAAAACAAGAAGTAGGTTCTTGTAAGTTTTTTCGGGCTATAGGGCCATGTTCTAGAGGCATTTCTCCTGACGTTTCGCCTGCATCTATGTGGAATAATCAAGTACTCTGAGGATGCTTGCCATAGATGCAGGCGAAACGTCAGGAGAAATGCCTCTAGAACATGGCCCTATAGCCCGAAAAAACCTACAAGAACCTAGTGATTCCAGCCATGAAAGCCTTCGACAATACATAAAACAAGAAGTGTTCAAATAGCCAGCAAAGCAAGGGCACAGATGTCTTTGGCGTTGCCCTGGCCGTCTTTGGGTTAAGCCAAAACTCTTCTGATTGGAATGAGGAGCTCCTTTTGCGCTGTTGAGGTCCAGCATTTGCCTGGGCAGATGAGTAATGTGTAAATATAGCCTCTTTGGCGCAAGGAAAGGAATATATATCCCTGCCCTGCCATCTGCTTTCCTCCTGGAGGATGGCAGCGCAGACAAGCGGATCCTCTGCCCTCTCCTTCTCTGCTCCAGGAACTTGGGTGCGGCCAATGGTTGCCATGGGGCTTTCCCTCTTGGCACGGGGATCTCCGTTTCCCTTCAGGCCTCCCTCGGCTGCCAGGAGAGCAAAGGCTGCCTCCTGCCCGGCTTGCCCTGAGTTCGGGCCCTCTTGTGCCCAGCAGAACTGACTGCAGAGGAGACGGGTTGAGGAATGCACCCAAAGCCTTGCGTTTGCCTGACTGGAAGCCCTGGAATGCCAGGACCTTTGTGCTGAGATGCCACAGGTGTGTGTGGAAATGTGCGTGTATGTGTCATAAAAGGTTCCTTCCCCTCCTTCCCCTGCAACTCTGTGTACCCCCTGTGGCAGTCTATAGTAGTTAAAAGCAAAGCTATCTTAGAAGAGGAATGAGTAAAGCAAGAGCACACAGGCAGACTTAGGAGATAGATAGAGAAATGGATGGATGGACGGATGGATAGACGGATGGATGGACGGATGGTGAGAGAGTGAGAGATAGGTAAAGGTAGGTAAAGGTTTCCCCTGACATTGTCTAGTTGTGTCCGACTCTGAGTAGGTGGCACACATCTCCATTTCTAAGCCGAAGAGCCAGCGTTACCCGTAGACACCTCCAAGGTCATGTGGCCAGTATGACTGCATGGAGTGCCCTTGCCTTGATCTACTCACATTTGCATGTTATCGAACTGCTAGGTTGGCAGAAGCTGGGGCTAACACCAGGAGCTCACCTCACTCCC